GATTATGAGACTTTTATTAGACCTTTAAAATATCAAAAATAACTTAAGACAAACAGGAATGAAGGACATTGCACAACGTACCCAACCGTTACACTTTAAAGCTACTTGGGTCATGAAAAACAAAGTGTCACATATCAGAAGAGACTCAGGAGACAGAACCACTAAATGCAGTTTGATATCCTGCGTTAAGCCTTGAAACAGAACAGGACAAGAAAAATCTGACGAAGTCTAAGCAGAATATTTACTTAATAGTATTTACCAATATTAATGTATTCATTTTGAAAATGGACTGTGGTTATATAGGATACTAATATTAGAGGAAGCTGTATAGAGTATGCAGGAACTCCACCATTTTTGCAACTGTTTATAAACCTAAACTTATTCCAAGATAAAAAATACTCAGGGCCTCAACTTGGTAAACAGTCGACTCTATAGAATCTTTAAAGATCAGTCGTATCTCTGTGTGGTTGCCTTTCTTAATGTAATAGCAAAGCGATAAGATAGTCTCAAAAATATTGAATCTATTTTTCCTTATCTATTATCAGGCTTATTTTAAAACAATATTGAGTGCATAAATAGAAAAACTTATGCCTTCTGGCTCATGTTTAACTCACTCTTTAATAGAAAATAACTATGGTAACATTATTTGGGGAATTACAGTCAGTAGTGTGTGTATTTGTGTATTTACGTATTTCCATGAATATTATAAGGTTTCATTCAACATCATGATTGTTCCAAAGCTATGATTAAAAAGTAATAGAGAGTAAGGGGAAAGCATTCCTCTGCACAAAAAGACAACTATATTACTAAGGATTTGAGTTTCAATTTTATTACTCAATTAAGACTCCAGATCCATTAACGAATAGCTAAAAGATCAAATACTGATAATCTCCATACATCCCACTTCGCAGATAATATTCTTTTTCTGCTACCATTCTCTCAAATCTCAGGTTCATGTAACTGTCTTTTACTTCCTCACTATTATTACTCTGACAACTACCAGAACCAGCACTATCCCACCATCACTGCTAGTTTAAAAAAAGATACCTAAAAGTATCTTAGTTCCAACTTCTGTAACAAAATACATACCAGGTGGCTTGAACCGCAGAAATTTATTTTTCCACAGTTCTGTAGGTTGCGGGTTTGAGATAGGGTGCCAACCCTGTTGGGTTCTGGTGAAGGCTTTCCTCCTGGCTTGCAGACAGCCACATTCTCACTGTACGTTCATGTGACCTCTTCCTTGTCAGTAAGCAGAGAGAGAAAGCACGTTCTCTCCTTTGTGTTCTTATAAGAGCACTAATGCCATTATCAAGGCCAATCCTCATGACCCCATCTAACCCTCCTGACTTCCCAAAGGCCCCATATCCAAATGTTAGCACATTGGGAATTAGGGCATCAGTAGATGAATTCTATGGGGATGTAGTTCAGTCACGGCAGTATTAGAAACCCAAAAGTTTCATGTAAGAGTTTGTGGATTACTTTCCAAAATCAGATTCTAGATGCTTTCTTCAGGTTATGTCTTGTAATCCTCAAAGGGCATCGTCATGAGGCATATTGATCTTAATTTAGCTTCTGCAAGTGAAGATATTTAATGAATAGCAGAACCTATACTAAAAATTAAATTGTTATAATGAAAAAAACTATTTTGGGGGGTATTAAAATGTAATATCCTGAATTAGGTTACAAAGGTGTGAACTGTATTAAAGACTGAGTGAAATGATTTATCCTGTGCAAAAATTATTTCATGCTGTAGGGTGAAGAGTAATTCTAGGAAGACTAATTTGATGCCTTTTTTCTTTTTTTTTTTTTTCAGTCATGTATTAGTGAATGTCAATATAAATAAATAGCTATATTGCTTAACAGTATCCAAACTACTGTGAAATGAGCAGGAACTCATATGTGTATTCAATAGAATAAACAGTTTTGTCCATTGATATTATATATAACATAATTCTCATAATTATGAAAATCATTTGAAATCTTTAAAACTATACCGATGCAAGCAATAATTTTTACAGTATATTTAAATATCCATAATAGTTATAGATGTGCTGAACAAGGTCTGTTGCTAAGAGCCTTTTATCCCTTTTGTATTAAAATGCCCTTGTGTGTACTGACTATGCTGTACGCACTGTGGCATGAGCTTTAAATACTTAGTTTCTTAACACTTAACACTTAATCATCCTCAAGCTAATTTAAGGACACAAGCTCAGGGAGCTAAATGCCTTGCCCAGAGTTATCTGGCTCCAGGAAGGGGCTGAGCTGGAATTCCAAGCATAATATTTGTAGTTTCAGAGTCTGTATTTGGGAGAACATTAATATAATTTCTGTTTTTAAAAAATTATTATATGGTTCTCTTATTTTTCCGGTTGCAAAATATTTGCATCTGAATATTCTGGTGCTGAATATTTAATAGAATTGTATGTCATTAGGAAAAAAGTATCCCTTCTTATGGCTTTGTCATGTGCAGAAAATTATACCTACTCTGTAAGAAAAAAGAGCTTGAGAAATGGCTGCGCCTTGTGGAGAGTCTTCTTTTTTTTTTTTAATTGCATTTTAGGTTTTGGGGTACATGTGAAGAACATGCAAGATTGTTGCATTGGTACATACATGGCAGTGTGGTTTGCTGCCTTCCTTCCCCTCACCTGTATCTGTCATTTCTCCCCATGCTATCTCTTCCCACCTCCCCACCCCCCCGTTCCTCCCCCATTTTCCCCCAACGGACCCCAGTGTGTAGTGCTCCCTTCCCTATGTCCACTTCCTCAATGACCTAAAAATAGAAATCCCATTTGACCCAGCAATCCCATTACTGGATGTATATCCAAAGAATTATAAATCATTCTACTATAAGGATACATGCACACGAATGTTCACTGCAGCACTATTTACAATAGCAAAGACCTGGAACCAACCCAAATGCCCATGGATGATAGACTGGATAGGGAAAATGTGGTACATATACACCATGGAATATTATGCAGCCATCAAAAACGATGAGTTCATGTCCTTTGTAGGGACATGGATGAACCTGGAAACCATCATTCTCAGCAAACTGACACAAGAGCAGAAAATCAAACTCCACATGTTCTCACTCATAGGCAGGTGTTGAACAATGAGAACACATGGAGAGTCTTCTTTGTACCACAACATAAGCTCATCTTGGTAAATCCTCCCTCCGTTTCATGATGTACCTTCTTTATTAGCTAAGACACTACATAATGTGTGTAAGGTTGCACAGCTAGTAAGTGGCATAGCCATAATATAAATCTATGTCTGTCTGATTCCAAAGCTCTATTAAGTTTCTGCTCTACCAAACTGTCTCTTCTTAGATATTTGCATTTCCAAAATCTGTTACCACTTGAAATGTAATTATTTCATTTAAGTTCAAAAGCAGAATTCTATAGCACTAAATAAATCAATGTAGAACGAGTTAAAGCTGAGCAAACCATATACTGATCATATTCTAATAATTTAATTTTTAAACATTATTTCGCTTTGGGGGTGTGGATCAGTAAGGGGCCAAATAAGCAAATAATAACAATATTATGTGTGGAATACAGAACTTGTATGTAGACAGAGCACCAGGAGCACTGAAGGAGTAATTTAGTTCATAATTTTCTGGTGCATGGTTAGGAAGCATTTGTTAGGGAGGGTGCATCTGATCCAGGCAGAGGAGAGGCATGTTCGTCCGTGCAGGAAGTTTAAGGTTGTCCTACATGTGCTTCTCAAGACTTCTGTAAAGTATGCAAGAAAGACAAAGAGTAAAGTCAAAGTGTGTGTATCTTGGTTGTTCTACTTTTATAATGAGAGGCCTTTATGTGAGTGTTGTAAGAATGCCTTTAACACGGAAAAGACTGTCTTCTTGTGAATAATAAACAATGTACACTTCAAAGGAATTATATTGCCTGGGATATATTTGTAGAAAGAAAACATAGTATGACAACTTTGCAATTTAAATGAAGACACAGAAGAGAAATATTGTGATCTAGATTTCAGAAATTTCCTTCTATCAGTTTCCTCATGGGTGTAAAGAAATTATCCACCAGCAAAGAGTGCACTAAAATTTGAAATTTAAAAGATGTAGCCAACTTGCATTTTTAGACTTCTTCAATTATTGGGAAAAATTCATTTTATTACCTTGTCTTCAAACATACCTATTGAGGGAGTGTGATATGGTAGAAAATATAGAACAATCTAGAGGTCCAATATTAATCAGGTCTATAAAATAAGGGCAAGGTTCAGAAATTATGTTTTGTGTTAGTGTAATTAGTTGTCTTGCTTTTTTTTTGTTCAGTCAAAGCTTAAGATGCAGATGTGTGTGTTCAAATCCTGACATTGTCACATACTTTATCTTGACATGAAAGTAATGCCTATTCTAGGTCTCTGTCTCATTTCATTATAAGGACTAAATATGTATATAAATTTTAATTTATTGCACATAAGTGTTTAATAACTAATTCCTATTACAAAAGTAAAGAAAGGATCAGACAGATGTTCACATTATAAACATATATTTCTTGCTTCAATGAATATTTTTAAAAATCTAAAATTCCACAAGTTAATTTTCAAATGTGATTTTTTTTTCAAAGACAGAAAATTGAGTATTATGTAAGTACTTCTCTTAACTTTATTAACCTGCCATTGCACTAGCATGGAAGATGGAGAATTGTCTGTCATTAGGATGGTGATAAGTAATTTATATGGTGTTGGTATCCAGGTGATTGAGTTATGTTAAAAACTACTGAAACCAGCCAGCAAAGTGAAAACCTCAAAACACAATCTTTTCACAAAAAAATTGTTTCATATGAAATATTATATTTTAAAAATACACTGCAATCTTAATTAAGAACATGCTTGTCAATCAAAAACAGTTCCTCTCTGTGAAGTAAGTACACTTAAAAAAAAAAAGTGTTCCCAGTGGATTAATTGAATAAATAAACTCCTGATGTCTTAAACTCACGTAAAAAGATGGATAATGGGATTCCTTTATTTGCTTTCAGATTTTCAGACGATGCTGGTTGGTTTTCAAGAAGGCTTCCAGCAAAGGACCCAGAAGGTTAGAAAAATTTCCAGATGAAAAGGCAGCTTATTTCAGAAACTTTCACAAGGTAAGTCACAGTCCTGGGAGTCCCTGGGGAATAACTGAGCCCTCAAAGACTTGTGGAGATGTTTCTTTAATAGATGAAATCTGCAAAGGCAAAAATTAATGGCTGGGATACAATGCCCTTTTCTGATAAAATGCAAAAGATATTTTTCTCCTTTATTTTAATAATCTGTTTTAAATGCCAGTGGTACCTCTGCAAAATGAAAGACTTGTTTTTATTGCTACTTTGCAAAATGAGATGACTCATAACCAAATAATTTTCTAAGGTGCTGAGTATGTATTTTCTCTCTATTCAGGTTAATTGTGCATTTGTTACTTGATGTAAACTGTGAACGATATTGACTAGATAAAAATTGGGGGGCTGCCTTTAGCAGTGCTAATGATATTGTTAATGTTTATGGCATTTGCTGTTTTATAAGCTCCTTAACAAGAAAATGATCATTGAATATGCTGATGTGTAGAGATAAGGCATGAATACTAGGAATGAAATATCAATTTCCTAAGAATTAAAAGAATATAAAACATAACCCCAGAATGATGCTAAATATATCTTTCATGATAACATCAAAACACAGCTAGACATTTTATACTAATACAGAGGATTCATGGTCAAAACTCAGAATTATAGAACAGTGTTGCTTATTGGTGGAAAGCTTAGTAAAGATTTTAATTTCCCAATGGTCATACATGGAATAAGTTATCCCAGATAATGTAATGAATTTGTGGAATTTTATTTTATATATTGTAATTTCTTTAAGTAGATTTTTTACAGTAAATAGTATTTATTACTAGTTATGGATATTAACTAGTAATCATTTCTATTGTATTTAAACTGGATCAAAGAGCTTAAAATTTGAGTTTGTAAAACTGTCTAGAAATAATGTATGTATACATAATTTTTTAAAATACTTTAAATATAGATAGACATGGGGGTCTTGCTATGTTGCTGGTCCCAAACTCCTGGGCTCAAACAATCCTCCTGCCTTGACCTCCCAAAGTACTGGGATTACAGGCATGAGCTACTGTACTCAGCCAAGTACTCCATATATTAATATAGATTTACTGCCAGAGGATACAAGTTAAAGTTTCTATCCATTCACTTACTAGCTCATAAGTGTTTGGTTTTCTCATGAATAGATGAATTTTAAAATTCTTTTATGTCTCTAAAGACTATTTGGTATATGGTTTCATAAAACAGCCAGCATAATACTTCTCAATCTAATTATATGCAATTATTTGAATTCTAAAGTCTTACTGGTATCTTTTTGTTACAACTATGATTATTACTTTAGCAATAATGTTAAACCTAACTTAATGAGGAACTACCAGATTGTAAAAACATGAGTCCCTGATATTTAGTTGGTGAGTAAAATTTTGAAGGGCTGAGCATATTATGTCTTCTTTGAATGACTGGTTAGAATCCCTGCCTGCTGATTAGTGACACGTACTAGTTGGAGCTCTCTGGCCAGTACAGCTGGGTTTATTTTTACTTACAAATGAAATAGGAACAGTTGTCAAGAAGAATTATTATCTTATCTCTGGACTCAGCTATCTTTTATCTGAAAAAAAGTAGACACACGCTAGTACTCTAACCCCCTACGGATTGGTAATTTGGACACAGATGGGCATGGAATGTCTGTTCTATACCAGGCATTCCACTCCTGGTTGGAAATACAAAGAAGCATGAAACACAGTCTGGCCCAAAAAGCTTGCATTCTAGTAGAAAATATGAACATACAGATAACTCTGACTCACTATAGCAAGTACAGATGGAGAAGTAGTCACAGATTGCTGAAGAAAGAACATGTTTTCTAATTTGGAACTCAGGTGAAGCTTCTCTGCAAAGAAGATACATTGATGGCCGAACTAGTGGTGGTAGTGTGTTAGCCGAATGAAGAGAAAGGGTCATCTCTCGGAGGCATGTGGAACAGCCCTTCCTTCTTATTTTATATTCTCTTGATTTCTACTACCTTGCCTACTCCTTATCCTACAGAGGCAATCTCAGCAGTGCTCAGAGCTAAAGAAAGTGCTAACTCCTATTTATCTTGCAGACTGCCTCATTAAAATCATTTGGCTTCCACTGTGAGCTGTGAATTTTAAGGCAAACTTCATTCCTTGAGTTATTCTGTGAATTGTCGAAACATGGTCTATTCGTTAGCCTGATATGGAATTCCAACTCATTAACATTTATCAGACATGTTTATGGGGGCCTCAGCACGAATGTGGCACTGGGCCATGTGCTGGGGATACAGTATTGGAAAGATGGCACTCTAGTCTATCATTGATATTAACCTCTTAATAACATAAAACAATGTAAATATGTAATAAATGTGTTTTTTATAAAAGAATATAATACAGAATTAATGGAAAACAGCTGTAGATGTGAGTAGGCTAAGACTCAACTGAAAAATAAGTCAGTCCTTAACAAATTCAGAGATATAAAGAAAGATCATTCCAAGAAGAAAGAAAAATTTTTTAAAAATCACTACCAAAAAAAATGAGGTGGAAACAATTCAGTGTGATCAAGGATCTGAAAGAGATCTGTTGTAAGTGAAGGAAAAGAGGTCAGAAAAACTGAATTAAACTGCAGGTGATGAGAGTCAGTGACAGGGTTTAAGCTTGAGTCTGGCATTATATTCTTAAAATACCACTTTGTGTTTTCATTTTCAGTACGTAACAGTGATCTTCTGACAATATAATTCTCCCGCAAATGACAGATAGAAATGCTGGATGTCAGCAGGTTCAAGCCCCAGCTGAAGTCTGAGGGGAGAAGATAGTTAGGGGTAGGGAGCTGGAAGAAATCTCAAGAAATGGCAGGTAGATGACACATGACATTATTCAGCAGCTCTCTCACACTGTTTGTCTCATCAGGAGCTTACTTACATGTTCACCTTTATCTCAGCTGCTTGCTCCAGCTGTGCCCTTCTCAGCAGCCAGCTCTGTGGCTCTTGCCGCTCTGATGCACAGCTGCACAGCTGGCTCCCTCTTACAGGGTCAGCAGCTTCCTTTCTCCCTCTCAGCCCAAGCTGGTTTCTGGCTCCCCTATGCCTGCATTCAGGTGATCAGCTCTCCCTTACAGATTAAGCAGCTTCACTGTCTCTGTGGGCACCAATCTGACCTGTGTCCTGACTCCCCTGTGTTCATCTGCAAAACAAAACCACTCTGGGTCTCTCTTTCTCTGGGCATGCCATATGCACAGCATCAGCAGGGCAGTTATACTGTTTACAAATAATAGTGGTTCCGAGCCAGGTGATGAGCTGCATAGCTATGTTTACATAATGCATGGAATCGTGCACCTACACTCCAATCTTGTTGAGTTGTGCAGGATGTTTACCTTAGCCTGTTCTTAACCAAAGCACATCTATTTACCTTACACTGGACAAAACACAAAAACAAGTCCCTGGGTCTCTGAAAAAAGCAAGTCATTTGTGTAGCAAAGTCAGATCTAGAAACAAGTAAATGACAGCTTCTTCCTTTCTCTGGCTGCAGCTTTAGGCTGGGGGCAGATTTAGTCACAGCAAAGCAGTATTGGCCATGGCAACAGGATGACTAAAACCAGTGGTTCCCAACCCCCAGGACATGAACCAGTGCTGGTCTGTGGCCTGTTAGAAACCAGGCTGCAGAGCAGGAGGTGAGCAGCAGCCAGCAAGGGAGCAGAGCTTCATCCGAGTTTATTTACAGCTGCTTCCCATGGCTGACATTAACATCTGAGTCCCACCTCTTATCAGATCAGTAGCGGCATTAGATTCTCATAGAAGCGCAAATCCTGTTGTGAACTATGCATGAAAGGGTTACAGGCTGTGCACTCCTTATGAGAATCTAATGCCTGATGATCTGTCACTGTCTCCCATCACCCCCAGATGGAACCATCTAGTTGCTGTGAAACAACCTCAGGGCTCCCACTGATTCTGCATTATGGTGAGTTGTATACGTATTTCATTATGTACCGCAATGTGATAGTAGTAGAAATAAAGTGCACAATAAATGTAATATGCTTGAGTCATCCCAAAACTATCCTCAGTCCCCACCAAACCCCTGGTCCATAGAAAAATTGTCTTCCATGAAACCTGTCTCGTGCCAAACAGGTTGGGAACCACTGAATAAAACAACCACAGAAAGACTTGGCATTGTTAAGAAACCAGGAGAAACCTAGGCTGCCAGAAAGTGAGGAAGAAGCTCCATCAAAGGGAAGGGTAGGAAAGAGGAGCTCTTAAATATGTACATAAACTCCCAACACGAGTGTGGCTGACACTTGAACCAGCTATGAAGTGGCAAATTGAAAACAACTCACAACTAAAGCTTAAGAGTCTGACTGAAGTCTGAGCCACACCCCACCACTGGTGTAGCATTTGGCAGTTCAGTCTAAGCAAGGTAATTGCTTGCTGAAACCAAACACCAACAATCGCAGAGAAATGTCACAGAATCCAGAGGCTATACATGACAACTACAATGTCCAATATGAAATCCAAAATTCCTCAAGGTATAAAATACTATGAAAATGAGTTTAATCAAAAGGGAAAAGAAAATCAGATGTTAAACCTGATAGGATTTAGATTCTGAATTATTAGGATGGGATTTTAAAACAGCCATTATGCCTGTGCTTGATGAAGTAAATTAAAATATCATTACTGTTTTAATTTTAAAAAGATATTTTTGACAGGAAAAAAATATTTTTAAAGAAATCCTAACATAAATCATTCTACCATAAAGACACATGCACACATATGTACATCCCAGAACTATTTACAATACCAAAGACATGGAACCAACCTAAGAAAATGTACATATATACTCTACAGTACATATACTATGTGGCCATAAAAAAGGAACAAGATCATATATAACATGGATGGAACTGGAGGCCATTATCCTTAACAAACTAATGCAGGAACAGAAAACATACACCACCTGTTCTCACTTACAAATGAGAGCTAAATAATGAAAACACATGTATAGAAAGAGAGGAACCCCCTCCCTTTCTCACTAATTGATAGAATAGGTAGA